CAGGACTGGGTATTAGAGTGGCAAATTATCAAGCAGCCATGGTGGCCTACCATCAGTTCCTGTGGGAGAAAATCCATCCCCTTAGAAACAGTTTGCCTGATGATTAAAGGACTCTAGGCTTAACATTCCAACAAGAGCTCTTTTCATTCAGCTTGGCATGTGACTGATTGTGCTGCAAAAACATGTCAGCTGCTGTGACACTGGGGTGCTGTGCATGGCTACAATCACCTAACATATCTGAAGATTCAAGAACCAGAATTTAAGACTTGCTTCTCAATTGTGAGAGTCTCTTTAATGTGAAAATAGATGACATCATGGACAAACTGTTTAACAAAAGAAACACAAGGGAAAGAATGGGTTTTTACTCTCATTATTAGCAAAAGCAACCTGGAAACATTCATTTCAATATTTATCAAGTAGATATACTTCAGAAAGATGATCATTAACTTCCTCATTGACACAATATTACAGGCAATCAAATCAGCAAAAGAAATACAGATTGAATGCTAATGCAAAAAGCTAGACAAAAATCAACTTGAAAGTACTTTCAGTTTCATTAATACCAAGATCCACAGTCCACTGAGCACCATCAGATCCACAATCCATTGCTAGTGCCATCTCAACAGCTGGTGCACTGTCACTACTGACAAATGGCTCTTGGCCATTGTTGAGAATGGCTAAGCAATAGAATTTATATGCCTGCCATCAACAGGTTACTTCAAATTTAAAACATCATCTCAAGTCCTGGAGGAAGAAAGAACAACACTTCTTCAAAAATAAGTCGTTCAGATAGTTTCAATAGAACTCATGGGAAATGGGTTTTATTCCCTATATTTTACTATCCTCAAGAAAGATGGAGGTTTGAAACCCATTTTGGACCTAAGGGATGTAAACTCTTTCGTAGCAACCTAGAAATTCAGGATGATGACATTAGCAGCAAACATTGAATAAACTGTCCATTAGTGAGTTCATAGTTATTGTTTTCTGAGAATTTGCCTCTTTTGATGTAGATAAAACACATTAATCAAAAAGCAAAGTTCTTTTTAATATTTGTACTGTAAGACTCAATGATGTTTAAAAGGCCTTTCAATTTGTGAGAGCATGCAAACAATGTAATATCATTCATATACATTACACGTGAAACATCATTGCCGTTTCTCTGAGAATTAGGCTTGTAGCCTTCAACACTTTAACTGAGCTGTATCGACAGGCAGTTTAAGGTCAGACAGAAGCATAAAGGATTCGAAGAATCACCTTGAAAAATACCTTTTTAAAAATATAGTTAGAAAAACATTCTGGACTTTCTTTAAGCCTGATTGAATAAGAAGAAATCAATAGAAGTTCCTTATTACCAAAGGATTTCCTAATGTAGCTTCTCTGTTGGTATATTCACAGCTGTATTTGAAAAACTGAAAATGTTTTGGGAAATAATGGATGACAGCATCTTGTCAACTGTGGATAAACAGGTGATACGTCAGTAATTTTTAAGGTCAGAACAATCACCAAATTTATGAAAGAAATGGGTTTTCCTTGTGTGAAAAATTCTGGAATAAAATTAGGGTTCGCTAGAGCTTTTTTAAAAAATGTAGACAAGGAAACACTGAGTTTAAGTCAATTTTTCAATCAAAGGAAGTAATAGCAGTAGCAATTAAACATCAAAACTAACTATTCCCAGTAGTAGTTGCTCTATGGATATTCATTGAGTTTGTAGCTGCAGGAGAACTGATCTGTAAGTTTCAGGGTTCATTATGTGACCCACTACACTACAGCATTTCTAATGAACTACTGATTTATTGTTTAACAGCACGGTGTGTGTGTGTGCATGAGAGCTAGAGAGAGAGAGAGAGAGAGATGGGTAGCACATTGGGTCAGAAGATGACAAAAGATGCATGTTCTTTATGTTATGCAGACATTAAATTGTGTGATTGCTTTTCCCAGCATTGTGGAGGTTGGTGAGATCTTAATAATCTCACACATTTGCAGTATCCAGTACTTTCTGTTTATTTTTGCCAACTAACTAGCACTTGTCTTAGTCATATTAAACAAAAAGAGTCGGTACTTTTTCAGCCCTGAATCATCAGCTGTTAATACTGCTGTTTGAAAGTCTGTCTATTGGCACCATTAGTTAGATTACACTGGGAAAAGGCACTTAGCTAAGATTTTTTTAAATGCAAAGAAAAATGTAGATCTTTCATATACGTAGGTTTGGTTTATTTTGCCACAAGGCAGTTTGCATTTTTAGAGGACAGAATCTATAAGTGTCTGAAATAGTGTTCATAAATAGAAAAGTCTTTGATCCTGCCTGGAAAGCTGGAGAGTTGCAAGGAAGCACATGTCATGCTGAAAACTTGAAATAAAAGCAGCAAGGAGGCACAGCACATTTTTGGCTAAGTTAGATGAATACAGTAGTGATCTTCCAGGGTTCGTTCAATTTCCTTGAATGATTAACCTTTCAGAATCTACTGTACATTAATTGTTTGCAGTTTTGGTACAGCAGTATGAATTGAATGTAAAATCACATACCCCAAATTAGGAATTTTATTATTTTTAGATAAAACACACTGCTCTAATGGAGGGCTGTGTGGGTTTTTTATCGGACAATCTTTGTGTTATTAGGCCTTCTATTCATTTATCTTAACTAGCGAGAAGAACATTATGCTTCTTCAGAGACACATTCCGGGCATATGGAATGAACAGATGTGGGTTTTCTTATCCAAATGGCAATAGCTTATCCTATTTTGTGTTTAACTGTGGTGTGTCCTTGTGGGTTATTTTAAAACTGCTGGTTCAGTATGTTAGTGCTGAATTAGAAGTAACCAAATAAGTATTCTAAATAAACCAGTATGATTCTTGGAGTGCTTTGTATAAGCATCTCTTCTGCAGGTCATGCCACTTTGTTTGAGAGGTGATGTGACAGTTATTTTCAGATCAAGGGCTATCACATGGCATACATGGCAAACAGAGGATTGCTTTTTGTAATTCTGCAGGGTAAGACCTAAATTGGTGGGATCAAATTATAAGAAAGAAGGTTTCAGCAAAATATTCAGAAGAACCTTCTGACTGTAAAAGATGTTTGGCAGTAGAATGGATTGCCTTGGAAGTGGTGAACTTTCCTTTGTTGGAAGTGGTTAAACGGAGATTGTATGGCCATCTGTCATGGATACATTAGCAGTGGATTCTCTCCTAAGGTGTCCAAGTCCCAAGTTTAATCCCAAACTTTTAGGGGAATAGCTAGGAAGAAAATCATTCCTGAAAACCTGGAGAGCTGCTGTAAGAGTTGACAATCCTGGGCTGCATGGACCAATGACTCAGCATAAGACAGATTCTAATATATGTTCTAGAATCTAATGTATGTTTCTTGCAGCCCAGTAACAATATCACTGTAATGATCAGAACACATGGAATATGGAAGTAATGAATTATCATTAATTCCTGAGCTAAAGCCAAGTCTAAAAATGTCAATTGAACCAAAATCCAAAAGACAAATCATATTGTATCATGTCATATCACCAGAATAATGGGGCCTTATAAGGCCATTGAGTCCAACCCCTTGTTCTGTGTAGGAATACAAATCAAAGCATATCTGACAGATGGCTATATTACTTTCTCTTGAATGCCTCCAGTGTTGGAGTGCTCATCACCTCCCACCTCCCAAGGTAATTGGTTCCATTGTCATATTGATTTAAAAGTTTTCCTGATACTCAGTCAAAATCTGGCTTCCTGTAACATGAGCCCATTATTACATAAAAGTTGACCAATCCCAGTCAAACAGACTGAATAGACCCAAACAACCTACTGGGTTTAACTTCTAAGTAAAAACTTTAATAAATCAATAAAAGATCAAGCTTCCAAAAGGAAAGGTTCCAGCCGCCTGACGGCCATTGAACAACGGCCTGGATTTGGCACCGCTGGCTTTTGCCTGCCAGACCGGATGGGCGCAAGACAAGCTTTCAAACTCGTCAGTTGAGTGGGCGGGGGAGCACAGGTATTTAAGAACGAGCTCCCCCGCATTTTGCCTGCTTGCCTTTTCAGGCACGCCGCCCGCCGGCTCTATTTCTAGTGTGATTCGTTGGTTGCCATTATGGGGCCGGATAGGAATTTTTGACCTTCATCCTGATTGGCTGTTGGATGGGGGGATTTTTCGCCTATCCCACACTAGAGAGGGGTTGTTGGCAACTTGGGTATCTTCCAGTCACACTGGCGGGTAATGCGGAAAAACAGGTGTTTCGGTGTGTCCCATTTGTAATTCAGGTAAGCCAACAGCGCATCCGACCTCCCGGCCCTGCGGATCGTGCAATTACAGGGCCGGTTCGGGAAGGATGCGCTGGGCCACTTCCGGACCAAGAGTGATCAAATAAAGATGGCTTGAGGTCTGGAGGTGTTTATTAGTGGCACGCCGGGTTCCTGCTGTCTGTGAGACAGCGGGAATCTGGGGCCAGGGACTCGCCCAATGGATAAGCAAGGGGTATTGGTTACCCCTACCTGTTACCATTTTCGCACTACTGCAGGCCCCTTTTATTGAGCCAATTGATGATTAACTTGAAAATCTTGAAATAAAGTGTGGCCCATATTTTAATTCCAATACTGTTGTCTCGCGTCTTTACTCCGGGCTTGGGTGGGCAAACATGTCCTGTCATTTTCAGGATACAAACAGTATACTAAGCGCATTGCATACGGCAATATACACTCAATGTGATTGCATCACACAGCATAGCATAATCAACTTACTGCTGTCCTAATGAGGTCAATTATAGGAAGCCATGAATCACTAAGTCTTTGCCCTTCTTCAAGGTTTAGCACATTACTTCTCACTCATATCTCTAAAAGAGACTTAAATCAAATGTGCATCTGTCCTTTGGCTACCATTGAATCCCTCCCAGATTAAAATCATGGAAAAGTTTTTTCAGAACATCTGTGAATCTTGAAGAAACAACAGAGAATGTCAGCACCAAGAACTTTCCCACCTCTTAAAATGGATGCCCAGGAAAGTCTAGGCCCCAGTCACACCAAAAACTGGATTGCTTGACAGTAGACAATGCAGTGGAGTTCACAGAACCAAACTGAACCTAAGAAAACAAGTTTTTTCACTGATGTGGTCCTTTACAAAAGTGTAGAGGAACAGGATGGTTCGCAGCTGTGGCAATGTTCTTATGCCCCTCGATATGCACTGTGGAAGGTTTGATGTTAGCTGCCCCAAATGATGTTGCCTGTTGTTGAATGAAAATTATCTGATCTATTTCTTAATTGTACTGTGGTGCTTCTGACACAAATAAAGAAAGAGGAACTAGGTTGAAATTGTACTTCCTGAAAGCAAAAGAAACAAGGGATAAAAATTAGCAAGTACAGAAGATGTATTTTAATGAGCTAGTTCCCTAGCTGTTCTGAACTGAACAGTGGTTCTCTGGGAGAAACAGCAACAATTAAAATGAACTGGCATTTTAAATTAATGAATTAATACTTTTTCTAAATATATTTCTATAAACTCAAAGGAAAGCAGCTGAAATTCATCAAAGCATCTGCTGAGATACGAAGTTAACAATTTTAAAGAGGCCTAAAAAACTTCCTAACAGAAACATTCTTGTTGGTTTTCAGCATAAATTGGGCAATGGAGGGCAGTGGGGACTCTGCTGCAGGCTGCACTTCAGGGTGGTGTCCATGCTTGACAGCATGTGCCATGGTTTCCTTTCTTATCCAGTGAAATTGATTAATCCTGTGTGTGTCTCATGCCATTCTAGTGAGTGCAAAAATATGGAGCATGTTGTGCCGAGTATTACACAGATTCAGGGGAACAACTGCATTATCACATATTCTGTTATGCAGCTCAGCAAGCATCACAGCAACAATGGCTTCTCATGTAAACAGAATTAAATCTGCACCTACCATTCAGATGAGATGTAGAAAATCAGTTCTCTCAAGATGGAATCACATGGCCAGGCATTTTGGAGTCATTTGTTTGTTTGCTTGTTTGTAGTTGAAGGATGGCTTTGTCATGGGATCCAACACAGATTTCTGTTAAAGTGATGCCTTCAGTAAGTGTTACTGAGCAGACCTGCTACACCACAGTTGACAGAGGGAGATGTGTTGTTGGGGGTATTTTCAGTGAGCAGTAATGATTGCTATAAAAATAAACATATTTTTCTGTTAATGTTAAAAAAAATCTGGCTTTGCAAAAATGCATGAAGGGTCATGTTAACCATGCAACCTTGGTATTAAAAATGAATACAGACTACAGCCTTATTTCTTATGATGCTATGCCTATGTAGACCTCACTGATAAACAAGAATAATTGATTCACTTCTGTTTGACAGTAACCACCTACACAGTCTGTTTGTCACAGACAAACACTTTTCATCTGCTCTAGTTCATAAAGTTACCATCTTGAAGAAACACTGAAGACGGATATACTGTAGATATTCCTGAAATAGCAGGAGCCACACTCTGCTGGTCACCTGGTGACAGAAGGAGACAGTGATGGCAGAACTGGATACAAGGCCACCTAATACATTTATTTAGACGAGGCTCACTTGCAGCATATTTAGCTGCAAGTACTCAGGGAAGTGGAAATAGGTTTTTAAAGCAAGAACAATGAACATTTATACTTTAGATATAACAGAATTCAGGAATTTGAATAGAAGGGAAACATACTTCACAAATTCTGCAAAAGAAACACAGAGAGAAGATTACCTTTATATTGCGCTAACTTCTCAGCACAGTGTTAAGGTTGGTGTCTCCACTTATGCCATACTGATCCATACAAGTCCTGCTGGAAGTAGAATCCTGAAAGGGGAAACTACTAGCACTATAAGAAACCTTAATAGCAATATGATGTTCCATAGTTATAGTTTGTTTTGATTCTATAATTTGTTAACAGCCCAGAATAGTGCACTGCTCTAAATGGGTTGTTATATAAATTAATGAAATAAATCATGAAATGGTCAGGCAGGGCTAATCTGTATTTTTCCCAGACTAAGGAAAAGGCCCTATGATGGCCAGGAGGGCTTTTGAAAATATTAATAAAAGCAGATAGCCTTTCTAGGAAGGACTAGATTTTTAGCAAGTAGTTTATTATTTGAAATCCTATGTGATATTTATGTTGATACACTGATTCCATGACCTGTTAATCAAAGAAGGAATGTGGTTTTAAAAGGAGTAACTAGAAAGCTTCATCCATGATTGTCTGTTGTGAAAATAAAGTTCTGTTTCAGTTCTAGACTATGCCTCATTTTACATTCATACACAGCTCAGGACATAAGTTGCATCCTTTAAACAAAAAATGACATAAACTCTGGCTTAAATGTTACACTACCAACAAAATTCATGGAACGTTTAGATATTTGGTCATCAACCTCGCATGTCAGTGAGGAGGTATTGTATCCTTTGCCCCAAACCTTTCTGAGAGACTTGCTGGAAAAGAAAACGAGTCTCTCAGGCATCAGAATTTTGCTGAAAAAAGTTTTTCTATTTCTGAGCAGAAAAGGATGCTTCCAGTTTGTTTTTTTGTTTTTTGTTTTTTGTAGGTATTTGGAAGAAATAGAGAATACATTTTAGTGGCAAATAACTGTATCAAAACTGTAAGCTTATTCCAGAAGACAGACTTTGATTCCCTTTGGATGCCTAGATTATGGAAGGGTTCCCAAAATTTTAAAGACAACATTATATGGTGGTTTGAGTATAATATATGGGGAGAAATTGTCATGTACTATCCCAGTTTCTAAAATCCAGTGATTTTTGAAATGCACTACAGAAATTGTTACAAAATGTGTAAGATAGTACAGAAAATTTGCTGTTTCTATGTATTTCTTGTATAGTATTCCTATAGCAAATGAGGTTTTGTCTAGACAATGTGATTAAAAGCCAGTAAGACAGGTCTCTCAAGAGACCAGTAGATTTTTATGTACTATGGGACATATTTGCCCAGATATGATTTAGTAGCTAGATTGCTTACTAATGTAGTAGAAAATTATTTTGTCTTCCTTCCTTCTACTGTTGCCGAGGCAGGAATGGAGAATTCTGCCATATATACTACTTTTTAAAATCCACATTCTTGCTTATGTCAAATGATACATGAAAGTGATTCCTGAAAGGACAGAACTATTTGCAGTATGAAGATAAGTGTGTGTATCATTGAAGCATCAGAAAGAATAAATCAAACAAACAGAGGAGACAAGAGATGGAACTGTGGAGCTAACCTGGTAAACTGCCCACTGCCACTCATCTTCTTGGTCTAATCTGCACCAGGAGGGCAAGCCAAGTGAAGGCTAGTACTCTTTCTCTTTGCTGTTGCCACTGCTTGGAGAAAAAAGAGGCAGAAACGACAAGGAGCAGATTAAGGAGCTGTGAGGGTCAGCAGGGAACCCTTTATGATACGCTGTGTGCTTTGGCAGATGTCCATGAATGCTAACCTGATACTAGCCACACATTTCTTCCTCCAATATACCTAATATGGTTTATTTTGCAGTATATGGTGTTGAAAGTAGTATCTGCAGTTATGCACACAATTTTGGAAGGGTATTTGTTAATAAAAGGAGTAGAAAGGGAGTTTCAAAAGACAATAGACAATGTACTCCAGTGCTCAGCTGAAGCTTTTTTTATGGAGAGGGAGAAAAGTTGAAAATCATATTGGAAGGCAGATGCGTATTTGATTTGGTACAGAGCTTGGTATTCACAGTACAGTACTTTTAATCAGTTACACTTATACTGGCAAATCCTCCTGATTCAGGTTCTAATGACAATTTAAAAAAACTCTTTGCTGTAGATTTTCTTAAAACTATATATGTTCCATTTGTATGTTCTTTAAAACACACACACACAACCTGAATGCTACAAACCAATGCACTTGGTACAAAACACAATGCCATCTTATTACCTTATTGTTACCCAAACACCCACAACAGAAAAAAAACACTGTTATCTAACTGTGTGAAGGTACCTAACTATGTGAGGATTGTGCAATAAGTTAAATGTATATTTCCTCCTTTTATCTGTTCTGGCAAGCTTACAATAGATAGTCTTTTCATTTTAAGGGAGTTAGCTTTCTAATAATATTAACTGTATTATCAGGTTTGGCCCTGACATTTTTGTCCAACATTTAAGGAAGCTACCCCACAACTAGAAAAGTAACTAAAATATTTAAGTTTCACTGCAAAATAATGAGGTTATCCCTTGTAGGTTATAGGCATAATGGAGTTATACCTTTGTTACTGGGAAAATGAGTTAATCTGCAAATAACTGGTTGCTTCCAAGCTCTTAATCATTTAATCATTTAAGCTAGAGGCCTACTAAAAAGACAGAAACAGAGCACCAGTTTTGTTTCCTGAAAGTGTTAAGTCAGGACTGTATTGGAACCCATTGAGAGTATGTGTACATCCATGCAGCCTTGTAAGAAAAGGGGTGAAGGCTTTTGTAACAATTGCATAAAAAGCAGCAGGATGTGAGCAAGATATAACTGAGCTGGAACTTTCATGCAGAATTCAAATCCTAGCTTAGGAAACACCCTCATTTCACTCATATGAGAACAGAACAGCATTCATTGTTGGCAATAATGTAGCTCCGTATTCATTTCTCTTTCATTAGCTGTCATTTTGCTGCACTCCCGTAACAAATATCTAAATAGCAGCAGAGAAAAGAACTGCCACATCAGACAAATGCTGCCTGTGTCACAAAAGTTCTCCTTGAAAAGGAGACAGACATTCCAGTTGGAGCAGTTGTAGAAAAAAGAAAAGGGAGGTGGTAAGAGAATGAGAGACTTAATTCTCTATCTTTTCTCCCCAGAAAATAAACATTTGATTTCAAAGAGATTGTGGCAATCAGAAATTTAGCTAGATTTTAAAGATTGGGTTAAAAGGAAACTTCAGGAGGGGCAACTGCTTCAGGGCCTCTGGACAAGTTTTGTGACTTCAGATTAATTTCACAGCTCTGAAATGTTTTGATTCTTTTATTCTGTCTCCTGAGGCTGTAGAAAAGAATGAGCAACAGGAAAAAATGATTCTTGACAAAGTATTATCAAATGCATTGTTTTACGAAGGGTGGAGTGTTTAGTTATTCTTGTTTTTTGTGAGAATTAAATACTTGTTTACTTAATTAACGGCCCTCTTTTTGACTGACTGATTGGCGAACAGATGACAGATATTCCACTGCCACAATATGGATTATATTTGATGGATATTTGAGAGTTAATTTATAACTCATTTCCTGACCAGAAGAAGAAGAAGAAGAAGAAGAAGAAGCAAAGTCAATATGCATATTTATTGTTGCAGGAAAGTATTCTTTGCCTGATTGCTTGCAACAATGAAAGTAGCCCACACATCTTTCACTAAGAACAATGAGATTAAAATCTAATATTTATTTCTTTTAAGAAAGAGTTAATTATGTTGTATGAAGAATGGTATAATTATTTGAATCAGTGGTGAGATTTCTGAGCTGATATTTTTCACTTTCTTTTCATTAAACAAAACTAGGTGTACAATTCTGGTTTTCACCGCAATAAAATAGTGAAAAGAATGTAATACAATGTAATATTTAATTGCCCTTTATATGTATGTTATAGATTTTTATTTACTAGTTTTCAACAATACAGTGTAAAATAAGCTGATCAGATCACAAGGACATTCTGAGAAGCATCCCAGAAGCATAATTAACTTCCTGCTTCTTCGTTTTTCCCTGAAATTTCAATTAGCTTTAGTTCTTTTTGCTACCTGTCCCCATGTGCCCTAAACGGCTGCTGAGTTTTGGCGCTGTACTGCTTAGCAGCTGCTGCATTCTGTTGAAGAAAACAACTCAATTTCAATGTGATGTGGAATGACTCTTTCCTAAGTTTATGTAATGTGTTTTGGAGACATAACTTCACCCTTGAACAAAGATCTTTTTACAGGGTATGCCATTCAGACTGGCTCAAAAGTTATTTCCTTGCCCCAGAGTTAGGGTTTTGTGAAGAGATTTGGGAGTTTCTTTAAAGAAGGCCACAACACCTTCACCAAAGTCCAGCACCCAGCGTTCTCTGGGAAATAATTACACTAGGATGACACTGATAAATACATTAGTAGTAATTCCCCCCCCCAGAAGTACTCATGTTACTTTGTTGGGACAAAAACAACATAGAGCTTTTGGCACCTTTAAAACTAACAGGCTTTATTTGACATCAGGTTTTGTGGACATCACCCACTTCTCCAGATACATGGAGAACAATATTCAAGCTACAGGCACTCAGTGTGCTGCTGCAAAAGTCATTTATACTGTATACAATTGGGTAATAATATAGACAAGCATGAAAAGATAGGCTGATTAATAATGATTAATATTAATATTTTGTTCCCCCCTACCCCACCTAAAAGCTTTAAGAACAGTTTTCTGCTCCTGGGCCATGGAAGGATTCCATAAGAATCACTCTCTCCCTATCAGAAAAACAAACAAGTGCCCACATAGGCACTTCTTGTTCAATTATCTTCTTTCAAAAATTGCTGTTCTAATAACTGCTGTGGCTAGCGTGGCCCTTAGTGGGGTTGGGTGCTTGAATTTGTCCTCCAAACCCTTAGACCTTGCCTGCCCATGATGCAATCCAAAAGAGATAAGAGTTGAACATGATGTATTTGTGTTCGACTATTTGTTTTTCAAACCTGTTTCTGAAGTTCTTTTGGTCCAGGACAGCTACCTTGCTTGAGGTCAGAGACAAATTCTCTTTTTATATGCCATATTGTTGTTGCTTTGTGTCATCAACTTGCTTCCAGTTTATGGGAATCTTATGAATTAGTGACTTCCAGAAGTCCTGTTATCTACTGCCCTGCTCATCTCTTGCAAACCCAGGACTGTGGTTTCCTTTATTGAGTCAGTCATACTCTTGGCCTTACTCTTTTCCTGTTGCCTTCAACATTTCCCATCATGATTGTTTTTTCCAGTGAGTTCTGTCTTCTCATTGCATGCCTAAAGTACACTATCCTCAGTTTAGTTATTTTTACTTCTAGTGGGAGAGTTCAGGCTTAATCCTGGTCTAGAACTTGTATGCCATGGCAATGAGGTTATCACCATCACTTGGCTGCTCCAATTATCACTCCTGTCATAAGCAGCTGTCTAGGGATATTGTTGAATCTAAATAACAGCTGTAAAGATTGAAGTTACTCCCAGAGCTGTCCCATTACTGTATGGTATAACAAGCCATCTTTGGCCTTCTGGTGACCAATTCTCTAAAAAGAAGTAACAGGAGTTTCAGGGTTTATATGCTTCCTGCAGAAAGTTGCCTTATTTACTGTGCATAAAGACTTGTAATGTACTTTATGGATGACTATTACCTCTCTAGCAAGATGCAAGTTGAGTAAATCATTGCTCAGTCTAAAGAGTGGAGACGTTAGTTTTTTGAATTTTGGTGGTGATTCTGTGAGTTGGTGTTGCAGACAAGAAAGAGAACTTTTAAAAGGCTCTAGTTCAACCTGTGCCTTTTTGTGTTCTTTCCATGCCTATACTGAGTGCTTGCTCTACTCCTAATCTCCACGTAGTTAAGAGGAATGTCAGCAAGTCTTGAGAACCTAAGAATCTGGGGAACATGAAATACAAAATTCGGCTGCTGGACAATTCTATGCTTTGTGGATGCCTGAGAAGTTGTCTGAACAGCCAGGGATCAGTGTGAAAACTAGTAGCTCACACCTTCAATGTATCTCCTGTTCTGGAACATTTCAAAGAAAGAGCTTCCAGGCATGTCTTTTATCATAGGGCTTATCAAAGCTGCCCCACAAGCATTCTAATGCCTTAACTGTAACCTCTGACTTGAAAGGAATCAGTCCTCTTCCTGCTCAGAGAGTTATGCAGATTTGGTGGTGGGAATGGAAGCATGTCGGGAAGTTGCCTTTTGTCCTGACTGAACGTGAAAGGGACTTAAGATGTTGTTGGCAACAGGTTTGTAATGGCATATTTGCTTGTACAAAAAGGCTTAGGAAAAACTAATTAGTCTAGCATTTCTGTGACCAGAAAACTGCCTTCGTCTGTTTGTTGTCCTGGGAAACTGCGCTGGGAGAATGCACTTTGTGCATGTCCCAGAGCTACACTATATTTCCACTAAGATGTATTAGATAGGTTAATGAGATTTTATTATTTTCTGGTGTGTTTTCTTCTTGAATGCTGTTAAGTCTGTCTCTATGTTTGCTCCTGCATTTTGAAAAATCTTTTCTTCTAACCGTTTTAAACTTTTGCCCTTTTGAATAGTCCCCCCCTTTATTTTAAAATAAACCATAAATATTCTTTCAAGCAACTGTCTGGATTTTTGAATGAGAAGGTTTGT